ATGAAGCCAACAATTGTGAGAACCTCTAGTATTATAGGTCACTTGCTAATACATATATGTATTTACTTAACTAACTCATAAAACAAATAAAATAGTTTTTTTTAAAACAGTAATCTGTGTTGTTTAAGCGATTTTCATTTAAATAGTTTGTTTATTTTACACTTACTAATATTTCAAGATGAGCGAAAACAAAAACTGCACGTCTTTAAATGACTTTGGGTGAGAGCATATTTTCATGGTAAAAAAGATACATAGGATTAGTTAGTTGTTTTGTTTTGATTTTTTCATTCAGGGAGTTTTGAGATGTGAGTAAAGTTCATTGCATTTTTAACATAATTTTGTTTTCCCCCACTAACATGACGACTTCTAATACAGACACTTCGACAACGTCTGAGCATTAACATGGTGTTATCTAGTGGATGGTGACACTGTCAGTGGAATCCAGAGTCAGTATTTCGTCCTATTTCAGGATTAATCAACTGGATGTGACTGCAATTCCCAATGAGTAGTGGTGCTCTCACTGAGACTAGAACTCGGTAACCGTCGTCTAAAAGCCGAATTCCACTAACAGTCGCCATTCACCAGATTACTTCATTTCATGTTAAGTAATTACTGAATAAGGATAAGTAAATTTAATAGTTATTATGTTTACTATGTGCGTCGGTGGCATAGCGGTTAGGACGCTCGCCGACCATGCACATGGTCCGGGGTTCGATCCCCGGCCGATGCACTCCTCTACCTCGCTAAGCTAGCTAAAATGCTGGTAGAGAGGAAAGGCTGGGCATGAGGTTAGCAACCCCATCCTGTAAAAATAAACACTGCTACAGAAACTTCAAGCTACTAGCTTGAAGCCCTATGTTCCACTGGGGAACGTGAAGGAAAAAAAATGTTTACTATAGGCGAAAATATTATTGTATTCCTTTGAGTTACAACGTGAACAAAAGGACTCAGACTTAGGCTCTAAATTTTCAATTTTGCATCCAACCTTCCCGCTTAATCTGGTTTACAACCGGCTAAGAGAACTTTAGGAGGGCTTAGGCAGGTATTGAACCCCAGACCATGTGTGGTGTAGTTGGTGAGAACTCTACTACTCACTCTACCATGGGTGAAAATACTTCAGATGTGAATTATATTATTTCACTAAAATAATCATTATACGACCAGGAAATATCGACTATCTGTCACTTTTCTAATGAAGGATCAAATATCTAGACAGATGTGTTTTCACTAGCATACCATTTTTCTCTCCTGAAAAAAGATTCACGGTGTCATGTTTCAGGGATTAACACTACAGTGAGAGAAACTCTAATCTAAATTGCAAAATTCATGTTTTTATTTCCCTTGATAGACTAGAATTATGTAATTGTAGGATAGTTCTTGCATGGTACAATGAATTCATCTTATTCCACGAGTCATTTAGTTGGCTGTATAAAAACTGAGTAATATAACACATAAGTATTCATTGTGACATGCTTTAAGTGAACACACAGTTCACTTTATGGAAACGTCGAAAATAAAGATGGACAAATTACACAGGAAGTTAAAATGGTCAATAGAGACATTATGTACTGTAAGTGGACTGATGAAAACATCCCAAATTGACCAATAGAGGGACATTGGTGTACATTCTTTTGAAAACTTCACAAATTTTAATCAAGGCATATAGTTCAGCTAGTGGAGACAGTAAGTCAGTCAGTGAGGTTGTGAAGCTGCATTGATTAAAACTGTTGAGACATCTGTTAGGCATGTCTAGCCATAGCCTTCTTCATTCAGCAACGTCAGCTGACATCTGACCAGGATGAGAAAGAGTTACAGGTGATTAAATCGAAACATGGCATCGGTTCATGAATTCGACGATTATTGGTTTGAGTCACATAAAGAGGTGTAGAATACCTCGAGATACTAAGAAACTATAGTTGCAGACTGTTGGGCGAATCTGTATGCCGCATAAAATTGCCCATAGCTTTCTCGTGATAGTTTGTAGAGATTGATGTCAGTCATAGAAAAGTTAGAATTCCTGGGCCATTGGATTAGGCTGCAATAGCTGAATGGTCATCGGGCTTGCTCAATCAGCTGGGCTGGATCCCTGTAGGGGGCATGGATGCTTATAGTTGAAGAGCCCCAAATCAAGAAGATGCAAATAACCAGTATTCTCTATTTTTCGATGGTTCTCCAAATGAAATTGATTCGTTTTAAAACTTGTAAGCTTAGTCTAGTTGCTTAATGTTATCACTTGTATTCACTAACTTCTTTGTACTGTTCAAAATTAAGTTTGGCTTTTTTGTGATATTAGACGCTAAAAATTATTTGATAATAAATCAGGACCGGTTAAGATCATTACTGATTTCTTTTTGTCAGAGTAGTGCGTATACACGAGTCGATTTTTAAATATTAACATACGTAAATATAAATGTGTATCGGTGGCGCAGAGGTGTGATACTCGCCAGCCACTCAGGTGGTCCCCCCCGCCGACGCATTCCTTTACCTCACTAGGCCAGTAATAATGTGGTGAGAGCTGGCTGCTAGCCAAAGTTGGTAGGCAGTAATTGACGTCAATGTTTATGTCCCCAATATTGGTGGTGAGAAAATGAGAACAAAGGCTTTGCGTAGGTGGATACAGTTAGCACATGGATGATCTGACACAGTCACAAAGAGATGCAAGGTTAACTTTCTGTGAGAAACAACCAATCAAAAGACTGTATTTTCTACTAACAATAATCTACAATAATGTACATTGAGATCTATGAATATGTGTTGATTTTCCTTAATAAACGATCTGTTGCCTGGCCCTTGTCTTCTGTTGTTACAATAAAACTGGAAGAGACAGAAGGTTGGGCATGAGGCTAACAACCCCATCCCGTGAAAATAAAAACACTACTGCTACCGAAAGTTCAGAGCTCTAGATAGAAGCCCTATGTTGCACTGGGAACGCAAAGGATTCCTTATTCTACATGAATGTAGACATTTTTAAAATTAAGTTGGCATCATTCTGGAATTACCATTTTAATGTCTTATAGTATCTGCATAGAACAATGTAGAATGTAATTTAATCTGATGCTTCATCGCAGCTGTCAGCCTTTTTCTCTTGAAGTTTATCTGGTCAAATGACATTTGAAAATGAGAAGGATTCTGAGATAATGTACATATCAGTGGTCTGTATGTACCAGATTTTAAAAAAAATATTAAGCCAACTAGACTTCGCATACGCCGTCTGTACATAGCTGAAGCATTAGCTATTCGGGATCTTAAACAGGACCTCTGCATTCAAAAGCGCTACATACATTCCCTCGCCCTACCATGGCCAGAGTAAAGTTCTTACTATAATTTTGCTTGTCCTTTTTTATTATTGTTATTGCTCCTATTATTTTTATCATCATTACTATTCCCACCAACTATATTTTATTACCACTCTATTACTGTTTATCAATAACATTGCTTTTTCATACAGATTTAATATAAAAACACTTTATCGCCTTTCCACTAGTTTCTGTCCCTTCTACACGAGCTTACTGATTAGTCATTACTCACACTTACTACATCATTCCAGCTTCTGCCTCTTTTCTGAGTTCCATTTAGTCACCCCATCTAGGTTACACACCTTACTTTACGTAATACATTTTTCGAGGACAAAGTTGACCAGTATCTGATTGGTTTAAAGATTCCTTTGTTAAATATAATTACAGTTGTACGGCTTATAAAAATAAATCTTCGAAGTGAAAATTTTCTTCGCTGTTTACGCCTTTTTTCTTATGACTCAATATGGGAATATTTCGTTCATTAAGCCAAATTACTTGAACACACAAACGTTTCACAAACGTTTGCATAATTTCTAGAATTCAATCAAGATATTGTTGGTAACTTCAGCAGTATCTGCTAGTAAGACAATCAGGTTGGATAGTGAAATATATCCTGACAGTGATGTTTGTAGTTGTCGATTGTTGCATCCAAGCTGAATCTTAATCTAACCTTACTGCTTATTTGTTTTAGTTGTTGTTTTTGTTGTTGTTATTTGTCTCTCTGGCCATTTTTATAGCTTTTTTACGACTTATAATAACGCTTCTTTTGTTTTCTCTGCGATTCATTAATGTGAATTTTGAACCTATTTTGTTCCTATAACTATGTGATACTGGCTAGTGGCATTATTAAGTTATTATTATTTTTGTTCCTTTGGGTTCCTAGTGGAACATAGGGCTTCAGCTGCACGTCTCCACCTGCTTCTGTCTTCTGCTGTACTTGTCATCTGCATCCATGTTAGTCCATACTGTTTCATCTCCTCCTCACACGATCTCCTCCATGTTAACCTTGGATGTCCCACTCTCCGCTTCCTTTTCGGGTTCCACTCGATGGCCTGACGCGCGATGTCACCCGGCGGCCTCCTCAGCGAGTGTCCAATCCATCTCCACTTTCTCCTGAATATTTTTTGGGTGATTGGTTCTTGTTTTGTTTGTTCCCATAGTTTCTTGTTTGTGATTCTTTCCGGCCATCTGATCTTGAGTATAGAACGAATACAGCTGTTGATAAAGGTCTGCAACCTGTTGGGAATATTCTTGGTGACCTGCCAAGTTTCTGATCCGTATAGAAGAAGAACTGACTTGACGTTTGTATTGAAAATCCGAATTTTGTTGTTGATGCTGAGTGACGAAGATTTCCAGATTAGTTTTAAGTTGATGAATGGGTTTCTGGCCTTCCCGACTCTTAATTTGACATTATTTAGTTACGACTGAGTAAATACCAAACAAATACAGATATCAACCTGAAACAGAGCACTTTGGTCCAATCAGTCGACGGGAACATCTAAAATTACATTAAATACAGATATTAATTTGAATTTCTTTCTAACTAAAATTAATACTTTGTAAAGCTCCACACTATTGTTCATTCATACTTCTATACTATGTGTGTTCATGTGTCATTCTCCTTTCTCTGAAAAAGTTTTAATCCTAAATTACCTGTTTCAAATTGAATCACTTAATTTTCGTCTCTTAAACATTCTATTGTAGGTCATTCCACCCTTGGTGTCCATTGTCAAGATATCAGGTAATTTATCATTTTGTAGATGAATATTCCAATATTTAATCTTTTTTTGTTCTGTCGTATGACAGTAATTGACAAGTATTGTAGACGACTTAGGCAGATTTGTTGGTAGTTTTAAATTGTCATTAACTATGTAGTGAATACCCAGGTGAACATAGACAAGACGGAGGTCATGAAAATAACCAACCAACAACAGCAGCAACATCCAGTGCCAATCACCATCAACGGGAGGGATTTGAAAGAGGTTACTTCTTTCACTTATCTGGGGAGCATTGTCTCAACCACAGGAGGAACGGACGAGGATGTCAAATCGAGAATCGGGAAGGCGAGAAACACATTCGTCAACCTGAAACCAATCTGGAAATCTTCGTCACTCACCATCAACAACAAAATTCGGATTTTCAATACAAACGTCAAGTCAATTTTACTTTACGGATCAGAAACTTGGCGGGTCACCAAGAATATTTTCAACAGGTTGCAGACCTTTATCAACAACTGTCTTCGCTCCATACTGAAGATTAGATGGCCAGAAAGAATCACAAACAAGAAGCTATGGGAACAAATGAAACAGGAACCAATCGCCCAACAAATATGCAGGAGGAAGTGGAGATGGATTGGACACTCGCTGAGGAGGCCGTTGAGTGACATCGCGCGTCAAGCCCTTGAGTGGAACCCGAAAGGGAAGCGGCGAGTGGGACGTCCAAGGGTGACATGGAGGAGATCGTGTGAGGAGGAGATGAAACAGTATGGAATAACATGGACGCAAGTGAAAAGAACAGCAGAAGACAGAAGCAAGTGGAGACGTGCAGTTGAAGCCCTATGTTCCACTAGGAACCCAAGGGAACAATAATAATAATAATAATGTAGTGAATACAATACAGAATAGATCACGCAATCAGTTGAGTTGTTAAAGGTGAACAATTATTTTAGCTTGGATAACCTATGCACATACAGTGTAACAACATAATCTATGGGATATGAACAAGTATGTTGAAATAATGGAAAAAACTAGCAGTTTAGGTGGATTTTTTATGATATTATTGTTTTACTTCTGGACAAGACCTTCAACGCTGAATTCATTGGCAAGTGGGTTTTGTGATTGCCCTGTGGAAGCATAACACGCCTTACCCAATGACTCTGACTGTGACTGACTGCTCCCTAGATTTTGTTTACTTGTATTCATACTGATTCTTTAGTCAACGTGATATTTCATCTTTCGATCAACTAACTTATTCTTTATCACATTAGATTGTGCATTAATATCAGACAGAAAATCACTGGAAACCAGGAAGTACTGTACAGCTGTTTCGTTCTGATTTTCGACTGTTTATTATTACACACCCATGATCACACTAGGGGTTGAACTCAGAATCATCAAGTTATGAGGGGAATCGGTTAGCTATTCAACCACTGGGATAGGATCTAATGGTCGATGAGTTCTAGCTCATAACGATTCATGATAAAAAGCGTCACTGACAGCCAGTGTCAATGGCTAGTACGTGTCCTTAGTCCCATTTTGGTTCAACTTCGTTGGCTACGACAGTTTACTAGAAGCCCAGACAAATCCAGTCCTTTGTCAGTCCTTGCAGTCAACTCGTATAGAACACATCAAGTTACCAAAAGGTTGAATACTGGCTAGATGAAAGAATCGATATCAGCACAACTAAATAAAGTCATAGGAAAATCTTCGGAGACAAGAAATCACAGCCCACTTCCCGATGAACTTAATGCTGAAGGCGTTCTCCAAAGCGATAATCTGGGCTGCACGTTCAAATCATTCAGCTAACAGTAGTCAGATGTATTGGCTGATCTAGCTAGTTTAGGTCAGACAACATGTCACTGCAAAAATAATTCAAGTATTCTAAGAACGCCACAATAGAAGCTGGCCATTTTTTTATCACATGAAGCTGTCATTTTGCCGAATGTCATAACAAAACACTTTAGTCAATCAATATAACTGTATTCAAAGATTAAATCTGTGTGGTTGCATCAAATGGATCTGTGACAATAGTATCAAATGAAAAGAATATATAGAAAACTCTATGTATTTACTGAGATCAAAGAAATCTGCCACGTGTCAGGTGATCCACAACCAAAACTCAGTTAAGCTTTTGAGGTGAATGCAGGCGTCAGACAAGGCTGCCTCCATATTATCACCGATTATATTCCTAATTCAACGTGAACTAGATTATGTGTCAGACTGTGGGGAGCGAAAAGACAGAAATACGCTGGGCCACCGATAAGAAGACTCTAGAAGATCTGGATTTCGCAGATGATATTTGTCAAGTGTCACAAACACTCGAATGCTTGCTTGTGACAACCAACAAGCTGGCTGAAGAAGCAGTCAGAGAAGACGGAGGTGACGAAGTTAACCGACCAACAGCAACAATAACAACCAGCGTCAATCACTATCAATGGGAGAAATTTGAAAGAATTTACTTACTCCGCTTATCTAGGAAGTATCGTTTCAACTGCAGGCACATGGAACGGATGAAGATGTTGGAGCCAGTCAGAATTGGGAAGGCAAGATACGCCTTCATCACTCTCAGATCACTTTGGAAATCTTCTGCACTCAGCCTGCCAGCATAAACAACAAGATTCGGATTTTCAGCACCGATGTTGGGTCAGTTATTGCCTGTATGTGTGTTTGAAACTCAGTGCATGATTCACATGAAGCATTTCGAACAGGCCGCGACAGACCTTTATCAACAGCTGCCTTCACTTGATACTGACGATCAGATGGCGAGGAAGAATCAGAAACAAGATCTTCTGGGAACCGAAGTTATCAAGACCCTACTGTTCAATAAATATGGAGGAGAAAATGGAGATGTACTGAGCATTGGCTGAGGAGACTGTCGAATGACATCACATGCCAGGCAACAGATCGAGTAGAACGCGAACAGGAAACGACGAGCTGGGCAAGTGTCCGAGTGTGTTATTGAGGAGATCATGCGTAGAGGAGATGAGAGATTATAGACAATCGTGGAACCAGCTAAAGAGGACTTCAGAATATCGGACAAAGTGGAGATGTGTTGTTGAAGCCGTGTGCTTCACTTGGTACCCAAGGGAATAATAATGAATAACTCTGCACTTTTGCACTGTGTAAAAAGGACTGTGAGCACATGGAGATGATTGTGACAAGTAGACTTCCCTTTCAAATTCCATCTTTTAAATTATATTCTAGGAGCTATGTGTAAGAAATAAACAAATCTGTGCATACTCAGTGTTTAAGTTGAGGTTACACAGCTAAGTGAAACACATACATTAGTTGTAATTAGATGTCTGTGGAATATTAAATAATCGCCATCTTTTGAGTGTGTTATTAAACCAGATTTAAATGAGATGTGACTAACAATTTATCAGTAAGAAATAATCTTTCCGAATGGGATATAATAGTAACAGTGTAAATCTTATCACAGTTACTAATCAGAATGAAGAACAATCTGTCTAAACCATTTAACTATTATAAATAAATCTGAACACTCACAAATCACCGAACTATCAAAGCTTGTTATAATCAGCCGAAAATATATGCAGTAAAAAAAAGGGAAGCATAAAGCATGCAAAAAAATAGGTTTGCTCGTTTTTTCAGCCTTCTTCTTCTTCTTCTCGTTTTCCTCTCTTCTTTTTTTTCAATCTATCTTTCCTTCTCTTCTCTGTCTAATTCTATCATCAAATAAGTCAATTAACAGAAAACTCCTATGGGGATTTTGATATATTGTATTAATTATGAGAAATAATTGTTTCGTTTTTCAGTCTGGTCAGACTATTTGTTTTCCTTCTATTAATTATAAGGTTGAGGAGGATTTATCACACACACACACACACTCTTTCTCTGTCTCTCACATACACGCATACACACATCAAATCACGTACACACACGCAGAAATCTACCGTTTACTACGATTTTCTCATTAACATTTACCTTGCCCACCTCTTTTTGATTTCATAACAGCACTAAAACCTTTTTATGTACATTCGCGTTTAAGAAGCTGCACTACTTTTGAGAATTTTCGCACTGAAAATAGTCATTTAGTATTGTTCTGGCATTGTTCTACACAAAGATAAATATATATACTGGTGCCAATGCTTCTCTTGTTGGCTAAATTCTACAACCACCTTTTCGAACAAGAGCGCTGTACAGGATTGGTGAATATGACCAGTAGTTGGTCGAGTATTAGTTGTGATTTATCTATATATGTTCAACACTGAAATGTATTCATGTGACTATGAGCTGATATCAGTTAGGTGGCTGTCCCGTTCCATTTTGTAACTTTTTGTCAGCGGACTATTGTGGCTGCAATATTTGGAAGTAGTCGACAGGTTACTACCTACTAAATCCAGGATAGACTTCTTGGTATGGGGTTTTAATGTCGCGTGTGGAGACAGATATCCACTTATAACACTATATGGCGATGGCCCTATATATATTATAGATTAAACAACCATCAGCCATTTGAGAGGTTATGTAATGCCGTGAGTATGCATTTTTGAAAAGGAAAGGATTGTTCAGTTCCCCCTTGATTTACACTGACACCCTAACTAATGTCATTCAGTAATCAGGTCATCACTGAAATACTTTAAACATGGTAAATCCAAACGGTGTCTAGATACCAGTGATCAAAGATGAGTATTCCTGCAGCGAATCAGACAATTATGAAGGCCATTGTGGATTTATCAGCCTTTTTTAGTTTTTAGTGAATCTATTCCATAAGTTGTTAACCTTTATTTCAGTCGTTTATATAAGAGTAATCAGCTGACATCACTAGACAAGCCATTTCTCGAGTGGAACCTGAAAGGGAAGCGGCGAGTTGGTCGTCCAAGGGTGACTTGGAGGAGGTCCTGTGAGGAGGAGATGAAAACGTGTGGGCAGACTTGGAGCTCGGTGAACACTCTAGCAGAGAACCGAACGCAATGGAGACGCACGGCTGAAGCCCTATGTTCCTCTAAAAATTAAAGGAAACAATAATAATAGTATAAGAGTACTATAGTTGTGTACATGATAGGGACCCTATTCATTCAGTTGGAACTTGTTAGACTTTGTTCATTCGAATTGTATGCACGTAAGTGAAAACTAATCACGAAACAGCATTCATTATTTTGAACAGACGAAATAAGCTGTTGGAAATCGTATCTGTTTCGTGTAAGCTTTAAAGGTCTATGAAACAAGAACCTTTAAATCATGTTTGAAGAGTCTAAAATGCTCACTGCTGATTGATATTACTTTCGAATGATTTAATTATGAAATAAGTAGCAGCCAGTCACATGTGATACGATTACTAATAATAAAATGTTTACACTCTCAGTTGAGTAATACTAAACTACTACTTTAATATTTTTCCTTATTTTAAGCAATACTACTTTACTGCCGTATAAAACAGTTGTAAAAATTGGTCAAATTCAACCGATTAACACATCACCACTTCATCGAGGCAGTATTCTATTGGGTAAACCTTTATGGAGTCAAGAAGTGATTGAGAAACCACTTGAAGTTCCGCATACATTTGAGTTACGACGAAGTGCTAAACCAATTGTCTGTCAACATTGTCGACGTTTATTGCATGGGTTATTCAGACAAGGTCTCCAATGTAAAGGTGAGGTATTCTTTTCTAATTTACTGTATTAGCCATATGTTTTAAAAGATATTAAATCCTCAAAATAAACTTCAATATATTTTCTATTATCAGTACCACAGTTTTATCGTGTTTAAAGAAACTAAAAGCGATAACGAGGTTTGAATATATTATGCAACAGGATACATCTGTGACAGATATGTTAAATGAGTTAAGAAATGGCAACACAAACGAATACTGAAAAGCGCAATAGTAAGAAAGACTATTAATGAATTCATTAGAAAAGTGATTTAGCATTGATGTTTCTAATAATTTTTGTACTGGCAGTACCTAAAATTGATCTAATAAAGACCAGGCAGACGCATAACATCGGAAGAATATACAGTCTGCAATCCAATATATACACTTCAAACCACTAAACCTTCAAAAGCACTATAAAAGGAAGAGAGATAAAACAGAATGGTATAAAAGTAATGATTAAAGGTGAATTCAGGAAAAAAGACAGGAACAAGAAAAATCATAAATCTTTAAAAGCGTTCTGTACTGTGTAGTTCACAGGAAGCTGGTGTATGTGCGCTTTTTCAGTTAATTTAATATTCGAGCTTCAACGGTTCAGTACTATTTTCTGTCTCTTTAAAGATAATATGACCAGTTGGTGGTATCTGTTGCTTATTCTTATCTGTGGTGATTTATGCGCGACAGGTTTCCTAGATAGAGATTTCTGACCTACCTACCCACCTGGTATCTTAACTGAGTAGCAAGCTTAATCATACTGTCTGGATTGATATCCAGACTCCTGAGCATGAAACTAGAATCTGCAACAGTAAATAAACCGTCCCAGTGGCTCAGTAGTCTACGAGCTCGCTTTGTAACCAGAAGGTCCTGGTTTTGAACCCTCGCGGTGGGTGCCTACCGTGAAGAGTCCCAAACTAGGACGAAACAGCCGCCTAGTACTCACAGGTTTTCCAGTGGTTCTTTAACCGATGTCAGCTCATGGTGAAATCCTGTAACCAATTAATCAAATCCCTATAAACCAATACTTGAGTAAATAAACCGTCAAAATGTGAAGAAAATGCGTCAACCACATAGTATTTATTTTATTACATATATTGCTTATATTTTTACAGACTGTAAATTATGGGTTCACAAGAAATGCGCTCCATTCGTTCCAAACAATTGTGATGGTGAGCAGTTTTCTCAGGAAGACAATACAATTAAAGGTAAGTGGAGACAATGTTTGTTATACATCAGATATGAAATAGTTTTCTCTTGTTTCTGTTACAATAAGTATAATGAATGAATTTGATTTAAATTATGATTAATGATGGGAAAGTTTGCTTGATATCACGTATTACGTGATTTGTGGTTTTGAAACAGTTGAAAAGATAAGAAACAGATGTTGTAATGAGGTAAACATATGTATATATATATATATATACATACATATATATATGTATATAAAGGACATATTTCTAGAATTTATTTCAGATAACGAAAAAACTCATAGCTCCATTTAAACAAATTAATGATAAGACAAAATCAATAGAAAGGCGAACTACCAACGTTTTTATTTCTATGTTTACTTACAATTAGAAGCTCTTGTTTCGCACTCTTGAGGAATAAATTCCGCTAACATGTGGAATGCTAAAAACAGAGAATATCTATGTCAGTTTCCCTCAGAGTGTGAATTTACTCTTCAGGTGAAATTAACCTCACCTAGTTTTCTGGCTGATCGTAAGTTCGGAAAAAGAAAAAAGAAAGCTGAACTTAAGACTAGGCAGCTCACCACAACAAAAACCACCCACTCGCTACAGAAACCTCAAAGCACATGTGAAAAAGAATGTAACGCTATCTATATTGCCTCCCTTTAATTCTTCTACGTAAGCACTTTGTATTGTCTTCTTTTGGACAGACGTGCAAAAAGTATTGATTTAAGGAGATTTGGCTGGTTACAGGTTTAATCATGGGTTCACATCAATTAGAGAATAACTGGAAAGCCAGGGAGCACTGGACAGCTGTTTCGTCCTAGTTTGAGACTCTTTACGGCACGCACCTCCCTGGGGTGGGAACTCAGTACCTCTTGGTTACAAGACGTTCTCGTCGATCATTTTGACTGTAAGACCCGGTCCAGTGGTCCACAAATTCCAACTTCTGCCAGTTCACTATATATAATGTGCGACCGCCAGCCAGTGTCATAAGCGGGTAACTGGTCTCTTACCTGACTTCGTAGAACCCGCTGATCAGTCATTGGTTTATGTGAGTCACAAACTCCATACATTATAAGCACTGAAAGATGTGTTGCACAAAATGATGATTCAGCATTACGAAAGCAATGAAAAAGGAAATGAGTGATAAAACAGAGAGAAAAACAACTGACATAAAAACACATCCAAAGACATTCTACCACTTTGTATTATTTTTTGGAAAATAAAAAACACGAAACATCCACGTCTTCCTAGATAGGTGTTTCGCTTCTGATTCATATTTGATAATTTCTTAAACTGTCATGTTGGAAGATCACCTGCCCCATTTGACGAGATTGTCCTGAATTAGTACATAACAATCTGATACAGCTATTTCTAGAACCTCCAACTGATTCAAGCAGTTCTTGTGATATCAGATGATAAAAATGACATGAAAGCATTTGGAAGTGTATGCTTATTATTTCACTTCATCGTGTCGCTGCTCTAGACGAGGAAATACTCGTGTGAAGATTTTCGGTGATGCTGGCAATCATATAAACGCACTAGAAATGCTATGAGAACACTGGTGTCACATTCTCAGTTTCAGTGATTAGGTATTATGGTAAAATATTTACTGTGACCAAGTTTTTTGAGTTTGATATAAGATTTATCATTTTGGATTATTATGTTGTTTCCCAAAAGATCAAGTTTTATGGCTTCACAAATGGACCCTTTTCGGTGGGCTTAATTTACTCCAGAAAACCAAAACAAAATTTCTGATAAAAAATTAAACTTTCATCATGGATGTGATAATGGCATACTAAGAGATTCTACTGGCATCTTGAAATAAAAAGACCAGTTGAGATGTAACAGAGTTATATAACAGTTCACCTGTGTTCCGAACAGATCACCGGTAAGGTTTAAGGTAGATCCCAGTATAAGAGAGTAGACCAGTTCATTTGCAGTCGCAGGTATACCTCTTGCTGTCAGAAATGCTGACAAATACGAAATCTAGGTGCAAGGCATCTTGCTTATCACTTCCGAACATTTAACATCACTTCAGAAGGCATGGTGACGATGAGTCTTCCATCTGAGTAGTGACATCCTAAAGTGGAGGGATAGAATTAAGTCAGCATTGAGGATCATACAATGTAACAGTTGTTACTTCATGTTGACTGGTCGACTAATACATTACAATATCGTTGAGCCATTCAGACCCAACGTTTAACTGTGTTTTTATTTGCATCTATTTTAATTTGATTTCCAAATAGCTACAAATATGAAGTACTCACGGCTAAAAATATTCAAAATCTAAGCCAAGTCGGCTGATGTTTTTTTATTAGCAGCACTGTTTTACATTTCCTGCCTTCTTACATAGTTGATTCGAATTGCACGAAGGAAATACGTAACACGATGTTTGAAAAACAGTAGATTACCTTCGAGAAGAAGATGATCATTTTGCCCTGAAAAAAAGGCTGCAAATTTCAAACTGTACATTACTCTCTGTCTATTAGGTGTATTTAATTTACTCGTTCTTTTAAATAATTTTTTCAATTTTGGCAAAAGCAAAGCTAGTTTTTTTAGATTTGATTTGTTTCAAATTTAGTCATCGATTGATATAATCTACAGTGCCATTGAAAACAAGCAGTGAAGTACTGGACAGCTGTTTCGTCCTAAATTTGGACTCATCGATAGTACTGGCCCACCACCTGGGTTTCGAAATCAGGAACTTACAGTTACAAGGAGAGCTCGTGGACAATTCAGCCACTGGGAGCCTACTCAATGGCCAGACCATGATATCCAACTTCTAATGATTCGCGATTTTAGTGTGACCACAGACCAGTGTCATTGGTAATTTCGTCCTGTAGCCAACTGCTAGTGAGCGTCAAGAGTTAACTTGCAAAGGTTGGATTTATCTGTAGTCTGACCACGGATAAGTATCAGTCAAAGAACCAGGGAGTACTGGACATCTATTTTGTCTTAGTTTGGGACAGTAATAAATCCAGCAACTTTTAAAACAAAATGTTATGGCTAAAAAGGTGAATGCTAAGCAAAATCTGATAAAAATTTTACTAATAAGTCTAGATAGGAAGTTGTGTAACATCGTAACAACAAATATTATTTAACGAATAAATAGTGTTGTTAAGATGAACAAATAAAAGAGAGAGAGAATTGTTTTTACTTGAGGAGTGAAGAAAATCTTGAGGGGAAAAATAAACAGGAAAAAGAAATAGCTTAAAACAACTGGGAAAATATATATCTTCATTATTATCATATAAGTAGATGTAAGACTGAACAATTCCCAGTTGAATTCTTTATCTACTGATGAAGTGAGAGAGGGGGGTGGAAATATGTATTGTGCCTCATTTTGAAGTTTTTCCGTCTCTTGCTAGATGTATCCAACAAAGTTGCTTCTTGAGGACTTCTAAGACAAGCTGTGTCTTTGAACTAACTTTAAATAAAACATTAACACAGTTTTACAGGAAAATGGTTATCAAGTTACAATTGAAGAGTTGCTTCATAGCCAAAAATCGCTTTTTAAGAGAACTATTTCCGTTTCTGGCGCGTTTAACCGATGTATGTTCATCTTTATACCGAATTTTTGATGCTATCACAGTTAAATTGGTGGCTTATCTATGAAGCTAAGGCTTCTGGGTTCATTGTGGGTAGAAAGAACAGGTATGCAAATTAGAAAGGCAACCTGGAAGATTTCCAATGTATGATTAGTCACCAAATAATATCACATATAAATCTGACAGAGTCCAGGTAGCACTAAACAACTGAAAATTCATAGTTCCGTCGCCTGTTTGATGGCAAAAGTGCACCGCTAAATCTCAGTACATTCTGAGGGAACAGCCGTCCACTTCTCATTCGTTGTCATCGACTTGTGATAACTTCTGTTATGATGGATTGTAGTTGTTTCTCCACACTTCACTGTTGTGCATTAGCAAGAGGTTATTCACTCAGAATATTTTATAGGAACCTTGTTTTACTGTATCTCCACAGAAATTCTGAATTCACTGACTAACGTTTAATCACTAATGTTGAATATTTGTCGGAAAAAATTCAAATTGGACAATTAAATATAATTTAATAATCCCTATTGAAACATTAAGATCAGAATATTCAGCGAAGAGACTGTTTCCAACGAATTTACTATCAAGCTGTACAATCGTATATATATATATGGTTTTTTTCCAAAAAATCACTGGTGAGGGGATTGAATCAAAGCTGTGAATATATGAAATAATAATAGTATGAAATGCAATCAATATGTGTCATTATGAGCATCGTTAAAGTTAATGTAGAAAAACAATTAATGTCATGTATAGGTGTTAGAAAGGGCTATAAAATAATACGCTTAGTAGACATTTATAAAGCATTACCTAACATGGTATGAAATTTGATAAGATAGCATTCAATACTGCAAAAATATTTTCTGGATTTAGAACGACAAGTGGGAAAAGTGGAAATGGTTCAAAATGAGAATGGTAGTAATAATAATAATAATCGTAGTAATGAAGGAAAGGTACTTAGAATAACTAAATAAACAAAATACATAAAATATAGAAAATAATGATAAGTAAATATCTATCCCTCTACGGCCAAGGCCAGAAGTAGGGATTGCACATGTTTCTTTTGTATACAAAGGTCTGGCCTAAATTTATGAATGGCCAACGCCTCCCTTGTCTTAGGAAGTGTACAACAACAAAAAACGCTGCAAGTAAGCATGGATTTGACAGATGAACTTAAAATCATGGTTAAGGTTGGTAGTGACAGAATTTGATAAAGTGTTCTAGAATAAAGCTTTGCATACACTTCTTTTCGCCCTTGTAAAGAAATGCTGGAATATGTCCTCACATCCGTGTAGAAAGCATTCTCCGGCTTCGTCCGAAGAATCTTGCTCCACAAAAGCAGGCGAACCGATAGATGTGTATAGAGGTGGTCAGACGAGGAAGCTTATCTTTTACAGAGGTGGAGAAAAACTTACGTCTAGTGAACGTCATTTTTAATTTCTCAGCAAAGAACGTTTTACT